GAAGCATCTTTTCCCAGACTTATGTTCAAATTTTGTGATAGATTATGATCATTGAATAGAGTATAAACAAAATTTTAAAAATAAAATCTAGAAAATATTAATCACCACCAATTTAAGTTTACTGACTTGTTAAAAATACTAAGCATCTGAAAAGAAAGAATCACTTTTTTTTGGAATTAAAAGAAAACTTCCATCTAACTTATAAGACCAAAATTAAGAATTTTATCCTATCTCAATAAATGTGCATCTTCTAACAGAAGTGGTTCCAAGGCAGTGTGCTCTCACCGGCCAGGGTGGCTGCTGACCTCATGGTCAGTTCACACATCCGTAACCAATTCAAACAGGAAAAAAAAAAAAACCAAACCAATTTTAAGGAAAATAAGACTGAGTATGAAAAAAACCCAAATCTAACAAGCTAACTTAAAACAGCCAGGAAACTAATCTAAGGAGATAGAACAACCTACAAATTAGAGTTACTAACAAACATTCCTGCATAGACCCAGAGAAATGAAAAGGTGAAAGAGTGTCCAACTCTGAAATACAAGTGACTAAATAAAAAGGTATAATTTTTAAAATATATTTCCTTTGTCATTTGAATTTCAAAATAAATCTGCCAATTTCCAGGCCAAAATAATTTTCCAGATGTAGGGTGACAAGGAATCCTCACACACACAATACAGAGTCCACACTCTGCCCATGATCTTAACCTGAGTTTACATGCAAAGAACTGAAGTTTTCTTAGTCATAAGGTCCTACCTACCCCTCTCCAGTTTCAGCAAGTTTTCCCTCCTCCTATATTACAGTAATCATGAAAGGACAGAAGAAATCAGGTCCCCTAGTAATAAAACTGGAAAAGCAGAGATAAAAATACTTATGGAAATGGAGAAGCAACACTACGAAGCAGCTGGGATGAGAAGGAAAGCCAGGAGGGTAACGTCTGTACCTGTGCTTTTGCACTATACTTGTTTTGGCACTGACTGCAATGGTCCAGAGCCAAAAATCACAGTGTGACAGAAAGGCGTTCCCTTCCCCAGTGAAAGCAGACCAGTGGGACTAATTTTACTGAGAAAACAAAACCTGATGGGGGGTGGGTGGGGGCAAACAAAAAAAAAAACCATCAAAAGCTGCCTGACCCAGTGCAGTCACATTCTTGAAAATTCTACTCAGCCCAAAACATTTGACCTCAAATCTAAATAAGCACTCCGGAATATCGAGAGTTATTCTGAACAAACTGAATTTACCAAATATTTTGGTAACTTAAACGTGCACAAAGTTCTTAACTCAGCATGTGGATTTCCACCATAATCACTGTTCACTAGGCCTCAAACAGCTTGCTCCTGCTGGCTGTCTTGTCTTTCATATTCCTAATGTCATTTCCAAACCCCACAACTTATGTTTCTGACCACTGGTGCAATTACAGCTCTTATACAACAGAAATCAGAATGAAAAAAACTGATGCCAGGCACATAATTTCAGCTTTTGCAGGAAATACCAGTCTACATAGAGAACTGCTCTTCAATACCTAACAAAATTATGATATTTAAGGGGGGAAAAAAAAGTATTCAACTGACAGTGATCTGAAAAGCAAGTTTTAAGCATTCTTCACAAGCACAATTTCCCTTTAAAAAAAACAAAAACAACAGCACCTCTGTTTCAGCAGACACAATCTTATCAGTCCACAGTTGTCCTTCTAAAGACAGAACTTCAAATTCTACACTGAACAACCAGTGAGCCCAGTGAGAACAATTAACGAATCCTCAACCACACAGAAAAAATTTGGAAAACCTCTCCAGACTTCCACAGGTGTGCTTAGGAGATTGCATTTCTCACATCGGTGAGGCAGGGCTCTCCATGGTCTGATGAGTCTATGAAAAGCTATTGAGAAATACCACATCTGAGCTGTTCTACAGTACTTTTCTTAATTACATGATTTGCACAACAGTTCTGAAGGTGTGGGCACATCATACAAATGCAACAGCTTCAGTCTCTGACACAGTACTGCCAATGCCTCCAGCTACTCTGCTTCCAGCTTCAGCACAAGCTTCAGAAATCAAAGTGCGTGGAAAAATTGCACTCCAGTTGGGATTAGCAGATATCTGCCCACATTATTTCACATGACAGCCATTGATTAAAAGCCATTTTCAGTTTCTATACCATTTCTACTTTACATATATGTCTCCTAAATGCCCAATTACAACAACAACAAAATGCCTATAGACCCACAAAAAAAAAGACAACAAAAAGCAAACAAAAAACCCCCAACATTTTGCACTCTCTTTTGATAATCTTGAAGCTTCTCAAAGCAAATAAATGCATGCTGCTTTCTGCATTGCTTACTATACAGAGCAGGCCTGACTGGATTAAACACCCAGGGGAAAGCACACCGCTTTCTAAATGGGGGGGCTTTAAACTCTCTGACTTAGAAATCACCTAACAGGAACATAAGACAAGATGTAGTGCCACTTTAAAATGAACATAGTGCATTACTTATTAACGGAGAGCAAACCCATTGATATTTGGATCACACCCTTGCTGTCAGTGCTTCCTCTCAGTGCTTTTTTAAGAATCTTCCTTCATCACAAGACTCCAAAGCAACTCTGGCAGGAAGCTTTCAAGGGAAACTCATTTAGGCCAACGGAGTGGCTCAGGCTGATGCACAGGCTCCTCTAACCAACTCACTACTGTATTCAGTAAGGCTGGCTTCCAAATATCAGTACCAAATACAACACCACTACACACTGACACAATATTCAAGATCAAGTAACAATATTCAAAAGTGCCTCCATATAGGTAATATGTGAAGTTATTGTTGCAATCAAGAGTTTTTGTGTAGAGAGGAGGAAAAGATAATTACACAGTGTACATCACTCAGCATGGCAACTACAGCTCCACAAACCTCTAGAACACCAGATAATGATAAAAATAGCCACTCGCAGTCTGAACTAAAACTCACTCTTCAACCTATTCTGCAAAATTTTGCTATCACTGGCACATCAGGTGGCTTCCAGAAAGTTTCCTGCATCACTATCCTTGTCTGGAAAGGTCAGCAGCAACTACCAACAGGACTGACAAGTTCTGAGTTAGTTTAAGTCAATGTACTTGACGAGAGATGCCCTGTAATTACAGGCAGAAAACTGCCTTCCAACTGGTATCCCTACAGCTGGGACACCACCACCACCACCACACAGAACTAAAAACACACGACCTTAGAAAACAGCATCAAAAATAATAGGAAATTCATTAAATTTTGACAAGGAATTAATTTACATGTAGCATTTTCTGTTTAATTTTATATTACAAAGTTACTTCAAGCCCAGCAAATAAGACATAGTATCTACTGTGACTTAACATAGACCAGTATTACATATCTTTAAAAAGATTAATGTCACTAAAATGAGTAAAAACAAGAAAACAGTACTCTGCATACTATTAGAGAGTTAATGTAACAATAGCCATTGCTATTGTTACAATAACCTGGGATAACTACTAGCTGGAAGAACTGTGGTACTACAGCTTTACTATACTAGTAGAAATGCAACATTTGTTTTAAAAAAAAATCCACCATTTAACTTACTTTAAATTAACAAGAGCCTGCTGTTTGTTCCCTGGACTGTTCTAAATTCAGGCTTTTTTCTCTAGCCACTTGTTAAGACTTCAAGTTACCTATGCGAGTACTGTGTGACTTATCTTTATTTTCTTAGAAAGCATTACAAACAAAAAACTTCCCTAGATATGGTGCCATCATTATTCAGTTCCCAAAGAACTCTCACACCTTCCTCCTGCCTCGGTGCTATAAAATAACTCAGGTGATTGCCCAGCAGCTGGGCTTTCCCTCTAAGTTCTGCTTTGGGAGAAACTCCTCTGAACAACAAAGAAAGAATTGTTCGAACTGCTGAACTTCTTTGTTGAGAAGCAGAATACATAAGAGGGTAGCAATGAACAGGCTATTATTTTAAGCTGGGAACTTATATTAATACCTCAGCATATATTTTAAATTTTGGTGCTTTTATCTTTCTTAAGTTCTCTGAAGGGTGGCTCCCTACTGCCATATACTTCCTGTTGACAACTTTGCTTACCCTTGATATTCTGAAGATAACAGATAGACTCACAGAGTTAAACTTCTTGTCAATAATATTTTATTTTTTTTTTAATTTTTGTAAAAAAACATTAGGAACAACAATTTTTCCTATACTTATCCTTTTATTCTCCACATTTCTCCACCTGACTCCACTGTAAAGCGTACACCCTCTAAATTAAAAGCATTACAGAGAAAAATAACTGGTTTTGCAAAAGGAAGCAGAAACACTACCACACCTTGGCTCCCGGAAACTGCAATCAAGGAAGAAGTTAAGTAAGTAGCAGCCTTCCCACACGAAGGCACTGACACTACCAGACAAAGGAGAACCATTTTTCCTTTAAAAAAAAAAAACATCTTAAAATACAAGCAGCCCTTCAGTGCTCCTCGGTCGGTCATTCCCAAAGGAGAATTTCTCCCCTTCTCTTCAGTGCCTAGGGGCACAAGACCCATTTCTTCTCCAAGCGGGGCCTACTTCCCCGTTAAAGCGATGTGCTTGTGAGTGCCCACACACGGAGCACAGCCGAACACAACCACAGCGAACAAACACCGACAGCAAACATCGCGGGCTAGCTGGGCAGAAACCTAACTTTAAAACACCTGGCACACGGCACGTTTAAAGGGAATGCCCCTGAACAAACAAGATCATGCGAGGGGACAGTAGTGACGACAGGATATTTGCATTATTAAATCAAAGAGCAAAGTACTAAAAAAAAGACGACCTCTACACTCCCATCGACTCCCAGGCAGGTGAGCGTGACTCCCAAATCCCCCACAGACCACGTTCACTTGGCCTGAAGGGGGTCCCAAGCGACGCCTTCAGACGCAAGTCTTATTAAAACTACGCTGTCCGAAGTCCTTCCAAAAATGTATTATTAAAATAAAAAAGAAAGTAACCTCAGACGTATTTGAAGAGCACACTGACCCTGCAGTTAGCAGCGGCTCCTCTCCCCTCGGCCGCGGTCCCGGGGCAGAGCCGAGCACGCAGCTCCACCGGCAGACAAAAGGAGCGCAGCCCCGCAGAGTTCCGCAGCGCCGGGGCGGGGGACGCCGGCCCCGCCGCGAGAAAGNCGTGCTGGGGCGTGGAAAGAGCCTGATGAGCATCTGCTTCCAACCCCTTCCACTAGAACAGGTGGCTCCAGGCCCCATCCCACCTGGCCTTGAACACTTCCAGGGATGGGGTATCCGCAGCTTCTCTGGGCAACCTGTGACAGTGCTTCGCCACCCTGAGGATAAAGAACATCCTAATAGCTAATCTAAACCTTCGCTCTTTCAATCTGAACCGGTTCCTACGTGTTCTCTATCGCTCCATGCTCTGCCATATAGGTATGCCCCATTTTTCGTGCAAGTTCCCTTCAGGCACTAGAAGGCCACAGTTTGGTCACCCTGAAGCTTGTCTTCTCCTGGCTAAACAATCCCCAATTCTTTCAGTCTTTCCTCACAGCAGAGCCGCTCCACCCCTCCGGACTCACTCCAGCAGCTCCATGTCCTTCCTGTGCCGGTTCCCCAGAGCTGGAGGCAGCTCTGCCGCTGAGGGCTCACCTGAGTGGGGCGGAATCCCCCCTTCCCCCCAGGACACGCCTGCATTTCTGGGCTGCATGCACTGATGGCCAGCTCACGTCCAGCCTCTCATCCAGTGCTCTGTTCTGGAAGATGCACAGTCTGAGGCAAGTGCCAGGTTTTTTTGTAAAGTGTTACCGGGCCTCAAATGCAGCTTGTTACTGAATTTCCTACTCTATGACTATAACCGTTAAGTGGTAATAAAAATACAGATGTTGTGTTACAGCTTTACCAGATAATGCAGAACAACAGTTCTATCACTCAGTACTTTGCAATACCAATATGCAGTTCCTTTTCAAATAGAGCAAATGAAGTCCACCAGCATAAAAGTGGAGATTTTTTTAGTCTAAGGAACTGTGACAACCATTGCATATTAGGAGTTTTAGACCCTTTATTTTACCATAACTAATGTGAAAACACAATTTTGCCTCTGGTTTTGCTTGTTGTGTGATCTTTCTGTAGACAAAGAAAGCATTTATCTCAGTGTATTTTATGTGGCACTGCACTCTTTCACGGGAGAATATTCTAGAAGCTGACAGTTGTGTATGGATTTTCAGATGAGATACTTTAAATATTAATATCAATGATGTCTTGGTCACTAATCTCCTTGGCAAAATGCCATTATTTACCCTTTGTTCATTTTCACCCTGTTTACACAAGGGGGAAAAATTCAGAGCGTGAAAAATCCAACTCTTCACAGCATCAGAAACTACTTGGACTACACTCCATGGAATTAGTGTACATTTCTAGATGTGTAGCTAGAAGCAGCATTAGGTCATAGTTGCCAAACTGTGAATTAAATAGCTGCAAATATTACCTTGACTCAAAACCATAGTTCTTCCTTACATGTTCCCCATCCTTCAAACTTGTAATATTTGATCTCTTAGGTAAGTAACATTCTCATCATATACTTTACAGGTTATATAGAAAGCATATATTTATGTAATTTTCAAACAAGCAAATACAAATAGAGAAAAAATATCTGGGAAAACAATATTTAAATTTGCTTCATACAACATACAAACCTTGATATGCATCTAAGAATTACTTGTACAAATTTAAGGAGCTTTTAAAAAGATGGTCATGTTAGCATCCTTTATATCAGCCAAAGGGTCCTTTTGTTTACTCTGCACCCTCTGCCACAATGAGACAATACATTGAATTAGAGCAGCAGTTTGACTGCATTTGCTGTCTTTTCTAACCAATGCATACATTTAATCCTCATGTTGTGCCCCACCCATCCTTACACACAAACAATGAGGATGCATAAGGACCAGTACAAGCATGTTTGTAATGTAGTCTCTTTGCCTACTGAAAAATAATCACTAATGCAACTCTCAGCACTCAGATCTCAAAAGCTTTGCTTACAACAAGGGTAGTTTTCAGTGGCTTGCAGGGAGGTGTACATGTTGAGTGCAGAGGAAGACTGGGGTAGAAGCTCTGGGTATAATTTTCCTTTTTGGTTAGCTTTTTCAGTAAGATTTCTTTAGCGCAAATCACGTGATTTGGAACCAGAGTTTCACCTCTTGCTCCCATTCTTCCTCAGATCAGAGTACTTTAGATGGTAGCTAATATGAATCCTACAGGCATGCTCATAATGGGTGCAATCAGTGCAGAACTGGAGCTTGTGATTCAGCACTGTATATTAGAAATTAGATAAATTAGATAAATAATTAGATATATTAGATATATTAGATAAATTAGATAAACTATTTCTGTTTAGTATAGCACATCATCATCTCTCCTGCAAGAGAGATATTTCACACCCTTCTGGGATATATGTAATCATCTATCTATTCTATAGGTTCCACCTGAGAGCATTTGGGCTTAGAATTTGGTTCTGAATTGGTATCTTGCATATATGCTAAGGATTTACAGTGGGATTGGGGAAGTTTGCATGGAGAGTTCTTTTGTTTTGCTGTATGCCTCAGAAATAAAATTTGTGGCATTAAATATTTGTCTTCTGAACTTATTCAGAAGACAAATTATTCTGAATTTCTGTCTTATTGAAAACATTGCCTGTATTATCATATGGGCTAATGATTCAGTAGCAGAGTTTTTCCTTGTGTTCTTGGCTTCTGTAAAAGCCACTAGATGAACATGACTCAGTCTTAGCTGACTTCCACATTTGCTGTGGAAATTTGGAGCATGGAATTAAGAAGGGATGATACTGTAGAAGTGGAATGAATGCTGACCTGAAGAACTATAGTTTGGTCTTTGCCAGACAGTTCTTGTGTATCACCTGACAAATTATTTAAACCAATTTCTTTACAAAGTAGACCTGTTTGCTTGTTTGAAGACTAATGTTCTTCTCAACTACAGCTGTGAAAAGAGGCCAGCTCTGTTCAGAGCTCACACACTGGACTTTTCCTATCTCTGTGGATACACATCCATCCTCCAGCTCCAGATTAAATGCATAAAGACAGAAAGAATAACATCTCCCATGGCACGTTTCTTCTCATTCAGAATGAGGGAGATTGGCTGATGCCCTGAACACTCAGCTGAAATGAGTATTATTAGCAAGCATTTTGCTCTGAGCATTGGGTTTAATTCCAAGTGGCAATTGCTAGATTGGGCTTTCACCTCTAATTTCCAAAAAGTATGGCACTGAAACATTCAGGTACGATGGCAATAGTGATGGAGACCACAGAAGCCCAGCACAAGGAGATGCAAAATCTGAGGCAGATACTTGCGGGCAAAATATCAATAGAAAGCATCAGAATATAGGGAAGTTGTAAACCAAGGTCTCATCATAATAAAACCTCTACTGAAATTGGCCAAGCAGTTCTGTGAGTTCTGTGCCATCTGCAGTGGACAGAAGCTTAGCTGCAGGCAGCTGTGTATGAAACTACACTAGAGCACGTGAAATACCACAAACATGTTTCTGCTGGCACGTTGTCTCATTAACAAATCTATTCCTATTTCCTGTATGGCCTTTGAAAATAGAGTTCATACACTTCTTCAGTGTTTGATCATAAGAGCACAAGCACCTCCCTTCACAAGGTTCGAGATTCTTCTCTGGAAGTGCAAGATCTCCAAAGTGAAGGACAAAGAATTTAAAAGTAGACAAAGGCCCAGAGCAAGCATCTGTGAACACGGAGCCTGAGACTGAAGAGTATAAATAGGCAGGACTCGGTTCCCAGCATGCCCAAACCACTGCCCAGCACACCCCTGGAGGGCGGTGTGACACAAGGCATGGGCAAAGGCACCAGGGCCGGAGTTCTGCACTCTCCCTGCTCACACAGGCACTGCAAAAAACACCCGGGACATCTGCCATGGGATTTATGGTTCTCTGCAGTAATATGGAGGCAACCCTCATTTCTTAATGAGTTGCTTCCTGTGGGAAATAAAATTGACTTTTGGCAGTACAAATGGCATTGGGCTGATACAAATTCCATCAGAATCGGATTTTTTATATTTTTTTTTACAAATAATTCTGTTTATTTTTTTACATATAATTTTAATATATGTCTGAGATTTAATTTCTCTAATTTCTAAGAGCCTACACTAATTTTACAACACTTTTCCAAGGATTCCAGAAGCATCTCATTGAACAAAAAAAGGCAGTGCTTTAGTTTGATGAAAAAATGGTCCAAATAAACTGAATGGTTTTCACATAAGGTATTATTCATACAGACAAAGAGTTATTTTTAATTCATGCTGTAAACAAATGCCTGAAAGTTCTCATATGTCTGGCAGCTTTCGACACCAGCTTCACCAATTGTTTACTGTCCTCCAGAGCCTGCTCAATAATGCAAGTGCATCAGGGTGACATCCAGAAGTACTAATTCATGTCACTGGCATTCAGCTTTTACTGTATTTGTTATGTAAACTTTATATTACATTATTCCCAAAGGCAGTCTTGAAAATAATGATTCTGTACTTCTGCTTAAGCTTCTTTAACGATCAGCATACTTTATTTCATCCCATCAGAATAGAACATTTAATAGCCAAGATAACTAATTTCTCTTCATCAAATGAATGAGTGAACATGGCTCACTCATTCATTTTTTGGCAAATAAGGGAAGTACAGGTATATTTTAGAAAACAATAGGCAGCTCAGCTTACATACTGTATCAGAGCATGGAACAGAACTTACAAGCATGCTGTTTAAAGAAAACCTACTGTACCTCTTTGCCTGGAAAACATAGTTGGAACCAGCTCATCCATTTGATCAAGGAAGGGAAAACTGTTCAAAAGCACTTGAGTAACTCCAGAACACAAAAATCACTGGTACAATTTCTTGTGTCACAAGGGGCAAACCCATAGCTATTCTAAGCCACAAGTACTGCATGTTTAAATGACATTTAGGTTTTCAATTTCACTGCTATGATTAGTTAATTAACAAATCTAAGGACAACAAACAATGATCCAGACACAAAAAATAGAAGAAATTTTACTCTGGTAATGATCTGTGAGGATTAGGAAGATAATGAAATGGTATAGAATTATACCATTTCAGATAAAATTTAGGAATCAGAATGCAAAATCTACTTGCCAGTGAAAAAAGAAATGTAACATGTAAAGAAACCATTGTAAAAGGAATATTTAAATTAATGTCTGAACTCCCATCTCAAATACTTAACAAATGGAAAGTCCCAAGATGAACTGGGTGATTCACTTCTAACCTCTGTTATAATACCTAATTGTATATCCTAATTATATCTGTAGAATATTACTATAGTAAAAGTATCATATGTACATGTGAACTGTAATTCTACACAAATTATATCACTTTTCTGCCATATTAAACAAGACTGTTGATAGTCAAAACACTGTACAAGCTATTTCTGCTGCTTTGTTGCTCTAAGCTGTAAAGGCATCCCACCTGTATCTCTGCTGCAGTATTTGCTTCCAGTTTTGCAGAAGGAATTCTGTACTATACTGCACACATATCAGATCTTGGTTCTACATTACTGTTCATAAAGAACTGTAAATGATAATACAAAAGGTGCCAGCATCTCAGAGCATTTTGGTTTGGAAGTGTTTTGACTCCAAAGCAAAATATCCCTTGAAAAACTTGTCATTATGCACAAAGACAGTATACATACTTCACTGATAAACTAAATTGAATGAGACATGTGTTAGCAAAATGGCACATTTTATCCTGTTTGGAGATCAGCTCATTACCAGGGAAACAGGAATTTTCTTGCCATGTCACTAGGATTACAATTTTTGTTATTATGTTACTCTTCAGGGCCAGTTATTCACAATGTTGAGTAGTAATCTGAATTGTGAAATAGGAGACCATTGGCCCAGATTTCCTTTCCTCACTCCCTTCACTTAACATCTGTGAATTCAAGGACTGAACAAGGCCTTCTGAAATGTTTCTGCTCTAGCTGGAACTTGAAACTTGAGATGGCAAAATCTCAAGGGACAGGGGAATTTTCAGCTTGTTCTGAAATAAGAAGCTGCCGGTACATCCTGTGACCA